TCACCAGCAGTGACTGGTGGCATTGGATCCGCCAGCGTCCTGGGAAAGCGCTGGAGTGGATGGGGTACTGGAAAGGGAGCACGAGCTACAACTCGGCTTTCCAGGGCCGCATCTCCATCACCGCCGACACATCCAACAACCAGTTCTCCCTGCAGCTGAGCTCTGTGACCGCCGACGACACAGCCATGTATTACTGTGCAAGAGACACAGTGAGGGGAAGTCAGCGTGAGCCCAGACACGAACCTCCCTGCAGGGCTCACAGACCACCAGGGGGCGCTCAGGACCACCGACCTCAGGGAGCAGCCCCGGGAGCAGGTGCAGAGAAGGGGGCTGGGGGCGAGGGGCTTCCTGTCAGGTCTGCAGCTTCTTCACCTGCAGCCTATTTCCCTCCAGGCCAGACACGCCATTCTGCTGTGTCAGCTTCTCCTTTATTTCAGTCCCCAGTGAGATTGCAGAGTTATTTAAAGCCTGTGTTTCTTAAAAACTGAACAAAAATCAAGGAATAAACAAAGATTCAGATCCCAAAACTTTTCTTCTATTTTTAGATATATTTTTTAAAACAGTTGGTGATTTGCTGTAGGATTAAGAAAAAAGTACAAAGAGTCCCCACATACCCTGGACCCAGGTTTTCCTGTTATGAATGACTCACATTGCCATGGTACATTTCTTACTATTAATGAACCAGCATTGACACATGTAATCATCTAACATCCGTACCTCATTCGTGGTTCCTTTCTGTTCACCTCATGTCCCTTGTCTGCTTCTATGTGGAGCCCGTGTAGGATTCCACACTACGTTTAGACTGGATGTGTCTTAGGTTTCTTTCTGTCCTGACAGTTTCTCAGACACCCTTCCGTAGATGACCTTACCAGCTGTCAAGAGTGCTGCTGACACCTTTTGTAGACTGTCCCAGAATTGGGATCCACCTGATGCTGGACTCATGAATGGACTGAAGTTAAGTGCCTAAGAAGGAACCATAGACTTGACCAGCATCCCTGTCGCACCATAAAGTACTATCAACGTGACATCACTGCGGAGGTTGGCCTTGCTCACCTGCCTAGGTAGCGTTTGTCAGGTGTCTGGGCTGTGAGGTCACTCCCACCCTTTCCATAATGTAGTCTTTCTAATAAAGTCACCATGTGCAGCCTATGCCTAAAAGGGGGAAGTTTTCTTCCTCCTGCTTGTGGGCAGAGGACCTCCGAGGTGTTTCAGGATATTACTGATTTAACACAGTTTTTATATTTAAGTTTTATTCCTATTTTTCAGAACGGATTCCTGCATATTATGTCAACCTGAGCAAAAATCTGGTGCTTCTTCACCCATGTTTTCGTGCACATTTTTCCATTGTTGGCCATAGTGTGCTCTTTCAATGACTCCTGTCCCCTCTGGCGTGCCCCAATTTTTTGGGATGTTTTATCTAGGTGAAGCAGATCGAGCATGATCATCTGCACAAGATGATGCTTCAAACTCACTTCATGTATTTCCTTCCCAGCAGTATATTCATCATTGCTTTAAGAGCCACGGATCCTCTTAATAGAGAGGAAGTTTGACATCCAGATCTCACCACAATGTGTGCAAACAGCGATGGTGCTTTTGCTTCTTGGCTTCTCAGTTCACAGAACTAGGCAGCAAGTGTGTCTACAGAACAGTGTACGTGCACGTGCGCGTGAGTATTTATAGAAGTCACCATCCCTACCTACACGAAGCTAAGGGTGGGCTGATGCTGAGGTCTCCAACTCCAATACTTGGCCACATGGATCTTTCCAGCCCTGTCCCCTTGCTGATCTATGAGTCCACACTCCAGCACAGTAAACCTGGATTCCACCACCTGCCCTCAATAAGTGTAAGGGTTAAATTACAGCGTACGTGGACATCACTATCAGTGATGACTGCGTATCAACTGGAAAGCACTTCTATATACAGCTACATTTGCCTTTACTGTCCCAGACACCACTCACTTCCAAAGGGCACTCCTGAGGACAACCATTCGCACCGCTCTCCACAGAGGTTGTTTCACACGTTCAGATCATCTGAATTCTTTCCTGGGATCCTCAACCTCCTGAAACACTATTTCTAGTTTTCATACAATAAGGTTGCTCTTTGGAGTGTAAAATTACATTGAATTCAGTAAACGCATAATGTCATATGTCCCCCATTGCTGTATCCCACAAAGAGTTTCACTGTCCTAGAAATGCCTGGAAACTAATTATCTTTTAACTGCCTTTATGTCTTAACTTCTCAGGATGTTATGCAATTATATTTTTATACTTTGTCTATTTTCACACTGTGTTTTTGGTGTGTTAGTTTATTTTTGTGTTGCTGTGTCTGGCTAATTCAAAAAGAAAACAGGTTTCTTTGGCTCCTGATTCTGGGGTAGCTGCATCTGATGACGGCTGCAGTCTGTTTCCTCTCATGGCAGCAAATGAAACAAGAGCCAGTGTGTACAGACCACATCGTGTGAGGAAGCAGGACAGAGAAACTGAGGAAGCCACACCCTTTTTAACAACCTGCTCCTAAGCACATTCGTCCACTCCTGGTGAGCTCAGTCACTTTCCATGGAGGGCGTTCATCCTCACCCATGATCTAAACACCTCCCACTGGACCCCGGCTCCCATCACCACCACACTGAAGATCAAATTCCTACAGAAGATTTGGAGGAGACAAATATTCAATTATGCCCTGTAGTATAATGCACTGAAGATTAATCTAGTATTCATGGCTTAATAGATCATTTCGATTTATCCATAATACTCCACTGTATGGATGTACCTCAGTGTTTTTTTCCCACTACAGTTGCTCATGGAATCATGAATACTTCCACGTTTTAGTAATTTTGATTGAAGTTATCAAAACAATTTGAGGAATTCAGCAAGATGGAAAAATAGAAGCCACCAGCACTCATTTCCTCCCTGAAATGTCCAATTGAAAAAACATCCACACGTGAAAATATGTTCAGAAGTACTAAGGAATAGATCTGAAAGGTTACATCACCTTGACAGAGTACAGGGGGAAAAAAGACATAATGAAGACATTAGAAAGGACAGTTCTACATCAAACATATCCGACCTCCTCAACATTCATAGAGCACATAGTGGAGAGAGAAACCCTCCATGGAACAAAAGACATCTTAAGTGAGCACCCATGTTCACCACATACCCCAAAACAGGCCTATCCAAGGGAAACCCAGTAACAGGGCAACACCATAATCTCAAGCTCCAGGCCCACTGTACCTGGAAGGCTGGCTTCTGAAATTCCAAAACCTGAAAGCCTCCCACAGATCCAAGCTTCATACCAGGACTAATGACCCAGGTCTATAGATACAGAGCAAAACCTAACCCTGTGCCAGGCTGTCTCCTGCCTGAGGACTCCAGCAACATGTTCACCTGTGGACCCACCTACCAACCTGCCCAGAATATCTAGATGGAATGTCAGGTGAAAGGATATCAATGCTAAACATGTTCTGTGAAGACTGATGGAGGTGCCCACTTCTTCCACTTGTGCAGTCAACTTCCCAAATCCACAAGAACCATGAGCCATCAAATAAACATGATGCTACCGAAGTAGCAATATTCAGAACCAGTCCCAACACAAAGAAGTGCAGATCTAAAAAATGCCTAACATGGAATTCAAAATAATCATTAAACAAGTTCTGTGAGCACAGGAGAATGACAGGTGGATAATGAAACAGTATCAGGAAAACAAAAAGTCAACAAAATCAGAAGTTTAATGAAGAGATAGAAAACATAATAAAAATAATTGGAAATTTTGAAGACAAAACACAACAACTAAAATGAATATTTCCAAGGGAAACATCAACAACAGATTTCCTCAAACAGAAGAAAAATTCAGTGAGCTCAGAAACAAGTCTTCTGTAATTACCTAATCAGAAGAAAGAACAGAAAATGAAGGAAAAAGTGTAAAAGAACAACCCAGATAGGGTTCCTTCCATAAGACTATCTGTGGATTTCTCATCAGAAAATGTTGGAAAGGAGAAAATGGGAAAATATATTCCAAGTGCTGAAAGAAAATAAAACTCTCAATTGAGAATACTGTCACCAGCACAGGTATCCAAGAGAAATGTGAGAGAGAGAAAGACTTTCCTAGATGAACAAAAGCTGAGGAAGTCATCACCACTAGACCTGCTGTACAAGGAATGTTACAGGGAGATACTTAAATTGAAACAAAAGGATGCTAACTAACAACATAAAGACACACAAAACTATAAAACTCACTGTAATGCTAACAATATAATCAAATTCAGAACACACTAACACTGTAATTAATGAGGGTACATAAAGAACTTTTAACTCTAGATTAAAGTTAGAAGATAAAAGTATTAAAACTAACTGTAAACAACAATATGTTGATGCACACAACATTTACAGATGTAAATGTTAAATATTTACAATAACAAAGTGTAGGAGGCAGAAGTTAAATTATACAGTTCTTGAATATATTCAAAGTTAAGTTGTTATCACCACAATGAAGACTGCAATAACTGAATGATGCTTTACGTAAATCTCATTGTAACCACAAAGAACAAAACAGGTAGTTGAAACACAGAAGAAAAAGAGAAATAAATCAAATTATATTTCTAAAAAAGCAAACAATAACAACAACAATCACATCACATGGGAACACAGCACAGGGGAAGAAAGATACAAAGGAATTACAAAACCTTGACATCAACATGCTCAAATGACAAGATTAAGCTCTTACTTTAGATCAACTAAGTAAGTATAAATGTATGAAATTCTACTATACAGTCATTTATCTGGAATAACAAAAGACCACGAATAGCCAAAGCAATGCTGAGCAAAAAAAATAAAGCTGGAGGTATTACTCTACCTGACTTTAAACTATACTACAAAGCCACAATAACCAAAACAGCATGGTACTGGTACAAAAACAGAGACACTGATCAATGGAATAGAATAGAATACCCAGAAATCAACCCACGCACTCACTGCCATTTGATCTTCGACAAAGGCATCAAGCCTATTCACTGGGGTCGGGACTCCCTCTTCAGCAAAGGGTGCTGGGATAACTGGATATCCATATGCAGGAAATTGAAACTAGACCCATACCTCTCACCATATACTAAAATCAACTCAAAATAGATTAAGGATTTAAATATACACCCCAAAACAATAAAACTTATTAAAGAAAACATAGGAGAAACCCTTCAGCAAATAGGGCTGGGCACAGACTTCATGAATATGACCCCAAAATTGAAAGAATAATATTAAGTGAAATGAGTCAGGCAGTGAAAAAGAAATACCACATGTTTTCTCTTATTGGAGGGTGCTAAAGGTGAATGAATCAATTCACACACATACATACAAACACACACACACATACACACACACACTCTCACACACACTCACACAAAAACAAACAAACAGCAACATCAACAACAACAACAAAAAAAATAAAAAAACCGGGGG